CCACTTCAAACTAACCTAGCCTATCCTTCCAATGTAGTCTTACTAATATTGTAGATAGTCTTTTTGATAAATTTCAGTCAATTCTGGCTAAGATAGAGTAGATAGTTCATAAGACTAATGAAAGACAAATGGCAAGATAGTTGGAAACACGGAAACACTTTTGTTATTTTAGCACAAAAGTCTTAGAAAAAAAGCTCTTTCATTCACCACTTGAGGTGAAAATCTAATCTCTAATCTCTCCAACAGTCGCAATGGCCGAGTGAACAAAGCAAAAGAGAGCTTTCGAAAGATTCGAGTTCGAGTCCCTGCCAGCGGCTTTTTTTTCTTACATTTCTCTACTTATTTTCTTTTTAATAAAATTTTCTTTGAAATTTTAGATTTTTTTTTTGTAAAAAAAATACATACATATTTTTTAATTTAATTTAGTTTTCCGAATATTATTATGTTTTAGTTCTTTTTAAATTTTTTTAAATTTAATTTTTCTTAACTTTCAGATGTTATTCTTAAAAAAAAATATTTTTTTTAATTTCATTTAATTTTTAGGAGCCCTTTTGAACTTTAACTTTCAATTTTCAAGATTTGATTGTTTAGAAAAAAATATTTTTTAAAATTTAATTCAATTTTTAAAACTTATTTCACTGCTTTCTCCTTCTTTTAATTTACTTTGCTTTTCGTTTTTTTTTTAAGAATTTTCTTTTAATTTGTAGAATTTGTTTTACAAAAAAAAAAAAATATTTTATTTTTAATTTTTAAGTATCTACTGTATTGTGATTTATGTTTTTCTTTTTCTAATTTAATTTTCAGATATGTATGTATATATAATTACATTTTTTATTGCATTTATTTTTTAGAAATATATTTTATTAATTTTTGCTTTATTTTCATTTTATTTTTTTTTAATTTCTTTAATTTAAATGTCATTGTATTAGTTTCTATTGTTTTAATAAGAAAAAATATATATTTTTTAAACTTTATTTATTAAAAAAAAAACTTTTTGCTAAAATGCGTAAGGCTAAGACTTCCTCGTTAGCTGATCTTTCAATAACTCCTTCGAAAGACAGTAAAGAGCTTTTAAGATAGTTGCCAGAATTGACTTTTGTCTTTCGAAAAACTGTGCGGATTGAAAGGCAGTTGCCAGAATTGCCCTGTTACTACATTGAAATAAGGTTCTGCTTTCCCCAAAAAAAAAATATTCTTAAGGAGGGATCGCACGATTTGTGCATTTGTGGGAATGAGTTTAGCTCAATATCAACTTTCCAAACTACATGACTCTGTAACGGTGAAAATATAAAAATCTGTGCAAATATACAAATCGTGTGATCCCTACTTTAGATAAGGTGTTTTGTTACTCGGAACAACTAACCCAAATTATACTAATTTTTATCATTGTCCATTCTGGATGTGAATGCTCAATGATGAATTCATTGCTTGCGTAGGAAATTGCACCAGATTCAGCTTTGCCTAAACTTCTTTCGCTGCAGCGCAAAGAGGTTGGTTCCGAATTGGTGGCATACGTAAATTCAAAATTTGTATACCACTTTAAGGTTTCCGACTGGGTGGGAAGATGATCTCGTTTAGAACGAATTTGCCTCAACACTTTACAAGGGATGCGTTTCAAAATTCTTTTCAAGTTTAATCAGTAAAAATACAAGATTTTATTAAACACTAGTTGAAGATTACCCAACGAGTATGTATTGTGAAATCAGTCCTCACACGCGTCCGCCTTAAACTTTCACTGCTGGGCTGCATCCAACGACAGCAGTGACACAGCAACGTCCGGCGGCCGCCATATTGCTTTTTCGTGACTTCCCAAACTGCGCCTGCTACCTGTCATGACAAATTGTCATAAAAGTGATTTTTGGTTTTTGATAAAAGTGCAACAGTCAGCCACTAACTAATTTCGCTATCCTGCAATTTTATCCCACTCCCCAAAAAAATGTTTGCATGCATTTTCCGCAGCACATTTAGTGACATTCGTGTGGCGATTTGCAGTTCGGCGCACGAAACGATTGGTAATTACCGTGTTTACCTCGTTAAAAACAAACATGTCGCCAATAAATGACATCCACCTCCACCCATTGCGAAGTGAGTTAGTTTGAATATAAACTATGCATACATACATATGTACATAGGTGTAAGTGCATATCTATGTATATAACTATGAGTGAGTGATTCATTTGAGATGGTTAAGAGGAGAGTACGCAACCGTTGTGCTGGTGGTGTTGGGGTACACTTTTAATGCTATTAAAAATTGCTTACAAATTTATGACAGGCTCGTGCGCTTAATTGCATTCATTATTTTAATTGTGTAATTCCGATTTTTTAATTTAATGGAAATTGTATTCAAGTGACTTTCACTGGCTTGTAAGTTGGCCAAGTCTGCATAAGAATGCACATACTAGTATGTAAATAAGTATTAGTATTAAATTAGGTTTGCGCGAATGTGAGATAATGGTATAATAGAATGTAGAATACTAACTCTGCCTAATGTCCTTATTTTTTATGTATAACAATTGTAGATTAGGTTACAATTAAGTCCATTTTCAAATTGAAAATAATTTATAGGAATAGTTTTAATTAAGGAAATGGATACATATGTATATCGAGCCCTAACCGCCAAAATAACGTAAGCGACATTTTTTTCAAAGTTTTCTTTTTGATGCAGAAATATTCCTAGAGCTTCTAGATACATTTCTGCATCAAAAAGAAAATTTTGAAAAAAATGTCGCTAACGTTATTTTGGCGGTTAGAGCTCGATATAACGACAATAATAAGCAGAAGGGCCAAAAAAATGTGTTGCATCAACTGAAATCGATAATTTTAAGATGAGATGATGTCAATCGATATTTCGGTAACCAAAAAAATATTTTATTTTTTTTTAATTCTATCACAAAATTCATAAAAAAAACGTAGTCCAATTCAAAAGTTAAACATTTGTTTAATAGTGTAATTAACCCTGCTGTTAGATCAGAAAAAAACTTACGATTCTAACGGTAATTAACCATTTGGGACATACTGTAATTTTCATACAAAATAACAATTTTATCGTACACTAAGTACATCCATTGCCGAGCGAATGTGAATATCTTTCACAGGATTTTATTTTTGTAGAATTTTTGTAACATAAATATCAACTAAAAAATGGATGTTATATGCACATATATGCATGTCTATTTATTTTCTTTACTTTACTTTATAACAAAGACTAGCAAATGCGCGGCGTGCTTCACTGCTTCACTTTATGTTATCGATTTAATTACATAAATTTTTTCAAAACACTGGCAACCCTCCTCCAAACATTTTCGGCAGTAAACTTTTCTAAACCTCTTCAGTTTGATAGCCGTATTGTAATATTTCATTATCAATTTAATTAAATACGAAATTTAAAACAGGTGGCAACCCTCCCCAAAAATATTTTCGGCAGTAAACTTTCCTAAACCTCTTCAGTTAGATACCCATATTGCAATATGCAATACTCGGAACCGCACATCACTAGTATATATTTCTAGTGCTATGATAGAATTCATTCCTCTATCTATTGGCATAGAAGAAAACAAATAAGGGAACGCTAACGAGAAACGTATTGCTGAATTCACTACCTTCGATAGCCAGCTTCAACGGATGCAACACCGTCATCGCCGCTTGTGTTTATTGTCTAAAAGTTTGGAGAAATGTTGAAGAATTCATTGACCAAATATGATTAAGTGAAATTTTAACAGTTAATTTAGTTTCGTGGATCAGCGAATTTTCCCTTATCTTCGAAACTTTCTCAGCGAATGGTCTTCACTTAGGCTAAAAACATACTGGAGCGGCGATCAAAGAGTGAAGAGCAAAGCGTACACACCATTAGCGCACACAAGGGGTGGGTTTGGGGTTTTATATGAATTTTTCGTTTTTCTTAAGAGTTCAGATAATTTTTTCGGTATTCGAAATATTAAAAAAATGTGGCAATCGTGAAAAATCACCATCTCTATCGAAAACCAGAAACCAGAAATCGAAAAAATTAACATTAAAGTGTAAAAATTTCTTGGAATCAATAAATTTATTTTTACTGACTCTTTTTTAAAATTTTTTATTAGGTACCTTTGAAAGTTGAGCTCATCTTGAGTTTATAGAACTTTTTATTAAACAAGTAGTTTTTAAGGAAAGAACACAATCGACTTCAATTCTCATATACAAATTTAGGTGTACCGTTAATTTCTTCATGATCCAATCATCGGATCTAAACCAAATTACGGGACGACCCTTGAGGTGTCATCTTTCCAATAAAAAAAGAATTATTGAAATCGGTTCACGTGGTGCAAAGTTATGTATTCCGATGAATTGATAACCTCCCCTTTTTTGAAGTCAGTTAAAAATGTTTGAGTTCTGTTAATCTTATGTAAATAAAGTGCAGTTTATGAATTTTAAACCGTTTATTTATTTATTACATACTGTACATAAAACTTGCATAAATGTATTTCAAAGAGCGTATTATCTTGAAGCGAATTTTCAGTATACTCCGGTGATATATCTTCTAAAATATAAAACCCCCCCTAAAATATATTCCTGGGTGCGCCCCTGGTACACACATGTTTGTAATTGAAGCTTTGCTCTATGCTAGCTCTTTGCTTTGCTCTCCGCTCCACTATGTTTTTACCCTTAGGGTCACTTTCTAGATAAGAAGTATTAGCCCGCACATCATGTCAAAATGTTCCTAGAAAAGAAATACTCATTTTGACAACATTTCTTTGCTTATATCTTGATTAAAAACATTTTTAATATTCTGTAAACAGAATCGTGGCATTTTGCACTGACGCTGACATTAAAATCTCTATCTCTTTCTAGTTTCAGTTATTCGATGTTGTGGACCCTAATTTTTTACTCAAAATGCATTTTGTTGTACTTAAAATGAAAAACTTTCTATTAGATTACACATTTTTTCTATTAATACGAGTGCACATTTTTTGGGCTGACTTTACAACTTTGTGATTAATTTTTTTATTTACTTCACTTTTCAGACGCCGATATCAACTTAAAGGATACCTCCCGCAAATTCGGCACAGGCGGTCAAACTCTTACCCCTCGACATACTATTGATGCCATTTTGGGTCTAAAGAATCGCAATGAAGGCGGTGAAGGTAAGTTTAAATTTTTTTTTGAACCAGGTGTCAGCTATTGATGCTATTAATTTTATAGTTTTTTATTATTTTTATAATTTTCTGGAACCATGATATAGATCGTCAGATTGTGAAAATCCATACACGAGTAGAATATATTTTGAATTGATTAGTTTTCGGTTGATAGATTGTAATTGAAATACATAAGTTACTGCTGTAATATTGATCTGCATATGTTGAACTTTGAATTCAAGATGAAATATCTATTTTTGTACTTTTTTCATTACGCATTTGCAAGGTCCATTTCTAAAACACTGGGATATTTTGTCTAATTTTGATTGCATCTTTCCTAACAAAACCCCAAATTTTGATGATTTATCTTGTTGTGAACTGTTTGAGAAATACATATGTACATATATATCCATTTTAAAAGATATATTCAAAATTCATTTGAAGCTTTGGATATTTGTAACTCCGATGCTTTTCCAAATGTTCATCAAGTCCTTAGAGTCATATGTGTTTTACCTTATACGACTGCCGCGAATGAAAAAACATTTGCGCCGCCTAAAAGCTTATTTGAGATCAACTACGAGAGAAGATCGTCTCAATTTTCATCGCAATCTCAATGTTAATGTTGACTCTGCGAATTGCAGTATTGAAAGCAGAATAATTTAGTAAACAACCTGTTCGAGACTTTTCTTTGAGTTGTCGTGAATTAAAACCCAACTACAAGCATTTAAAAAATATAAAAAATAAGGCATCCATTCAAACAAAAAACATTCAAATAACCACCCAGTGGCTTTCTACAGAACAAAACGCCAACAATTTTCGCATATTGCAAAAGAAAGTGTGACAATAAAAAAAAATGTTTACACAAATAAATTTATTTGGAGTTAGTCAATCTAAAAACCATCTGTTCTACAAGGGCGATTTCATGCTCGGCGACATCACCGTCAGACACCAATCAAAATTGCATTATAATCCATTTAAATCGTCTACTAATCCCCGGATTAAAAGCAAAAAAAAAAGAGTACCAAAAGCGCACAAAACACACCCACGCAAAAAAGCATTAAAACTTTCAAGAAAACAAAGTAAATTTGCAAAGTGTGAAAAGTATAGCAAAACGCCAGCAAACGCCCACTCGCGTGAATTTGTGAAAATGTATAGTAAATAAAACAAATGCGCACGAAGGATAATGAAATCGGCTTAATCCTTTTACGAAATCACGAAATCAGCTAAAGTTGGCATCGACGAACGCTTTCGCTGGCGCTCGTTATCAGTTGTCGTGCATCTAAATCTGCTAAATTGCATTCCAAACCGAAAAGCGAAGGTGGTAAAGGATGACGCTGATTGTGTTGGAAAGCTAATGCTTAAGTGTAGATACGGAAGAGGCATACAAACAAAGTGGCTGTACATCTACATGCTTGCATATAAAATTGGTTAGATGTAGCTACTTACATAGATATATATGTACCCCATTATGCCGCTTGAAATAGCATTAATTTTAAGTCAGTTTCTTTTGTACACGAAAACAAGTGTTAATGTGATTTCGCGATTAAGATATTACAAATTGTTAGTCTGCATAATTTCTTAACTCCACGGAGAACTCTTAGTGCAGAATAACTGTTCAATGGATTTAAAAATTAAGAATTAAAAACTTGATTGCTTATTTATTTATATTTTTGTTTAAATATTTTTGTGCCTAAACGATCATTCTGGTTTCATATCGATACAGATATACAGCAAATAATAATGTTTGCCAGTTATAGTTGCTAAGCAAAGTGCAAAAATTTAAAACAACAGAAAAATACAATTAGAGCCAATTTTCCCTACAAGGGTTACATATTACTGAGGCGTATTCCAAAAGTCGTCAACCTAAAAATTTAAAAAGTGGTTTGGTAATATAGAGATCACAAAATTCCCTTGACCATTGACATGGTGTGTATTAAAGCGTAACCTGCAGAAAAAATTATCAAATGTTAAAAATATCCCACTTTTAGTTAAACTTTTGCTGGATTTCGATAAAATATGTATATAACTTTTAGTTCAGTACAAAAAGCTACCTTAAAACTAGTTGAAAAGTAAAGCCGGAGTCATGTAGACGTAATCGGGAGTTTGTTTTCTTTAAACAAGTTTCAATTTAAATATCCTCATAAAAATTTTACTTTGAACACACAATTTTTTCTGCACTTCCCAAATACTTTTTCCAAGTCAGGACAAGTAAGGATTGAAATTTTATGTTATCATTTTGAGGTTACGTCTGACAGAATTGAATATGGGATCATCTACAGCAGAATATGTAAACAAATATGTAATGTTAAATAAAGTAAGTAAAAAATAAAAAAAATAAATGTTTTTCTTTTTGATATTTTATGTCCAAAAGTAGTTTGTTACAAGTTAGTTGACATCTCATGCAGAGGTAACCAGCGTTGACTATTTCGCAGCCATCGCCATGGAAATATAGTTAGCTCTCCCCAAGGAAAGTATACAGAGAATAGCTCCTTCCTAATCAGCTTACAGTTAGACACATTTCCTGCAGGTTAGTTTAGGGCTCACTTAGACATTTAATTAGATTGTTTAATTAGATTGGATGACAGCTGCATTTGCCCATCCGGCCTTGAAGGAAATGAGCCGGTGGAACATCTTTTCAGCCTCTGCCTCGCCTTGAAAGAATTAGATATGAGGCATTTAGCCCAAATGTGTTGAGAGACGAACACCTGAGCTCTTTGACACTCGACAATCTGCTTAAGTTTATTCGTAAATCATGCAGATTTAAGTGCGGTTAAAAGGGTCAAAACAATGGACGGCATGTAGTCTGAGTGCTGTTTTCAGCACGCGTTGTTTTGCGCCTGGTTCGGACAAAAAAAAACCTGACCTAAAAATCAGCAAAAATGTTAAGCACGAAAATGGAGCAAGATGACTACCTTAAGATACATCGGGCGTAGCTTAGGTTGGGTTAGGTTCTATCGGCAGACCCGAGAGGATCTCTATTAGGCATTTAATTAGACCAGTTTTCGCGCAGCGGTTGAAATTCAACCTTTTAAGTTAAGGGAGTTGGGGTGGGCTGAGCTGAGCCAAATTGGGTTTAGTTGAGTTGATTAAAGTGAATTAAGGGGAAATGCATTGAACAACATAACAGAATATAACCTAACATAACATAACACAACACAATACAATACAACACAATACGATACAAAACGATACAGCATAACTTAAAATAACATAACACAACAACATTACATAATATAACACAACATAAAATAACATTACATTACATAACATAACATAATATGGCATAACATAACATACCACAACCACAACGCAAAACAACACATCACAACACAACACAATTTAACACCATACATTACAACGGAATAAAACACAACACAACACAAAACAACAACAAAATACAATACAATACAACACAACATAATACAATACAACAAAATACAACACCACATGATATGTCATCCTTCAATTTTATCATTTTCTTTTTCTCTTTTTTTTGTCCCTATCTTTGTTTCTGCCGTTTTTTTGTATTTTCGTCTTTTCGTTTTTATATTTATCACTTCCTTGACTTTAATTCAGATCAGATTCAGATATTTAGCAAATTTGCTACGCTCATAGCAAATATTCAAATGCGGGGCACTATACGGCTTATATGTATCCTCAGGTATTTGTATGGATGGAAGAATTCATCTTAAAAATCTTTGTATTTGTTTCACTTAGAAATTTGTGACTTCCTTATCATATTTTTCTACTGTACGTGCACTTTTCATCACCTTCTTGACCTTTATTCAATATCCTGTTGGCTTCCTTTCGGTGCCGCTTTGTATTTGTACTTGTATTGTGGGAAACATGTTAATGTTGAAATAATAGTTGCAAGTGCTATGTAATCACTGCTAAAGTTGTCGGAATATTTATGATTTATTGCCATTTGAGAAAAATATTTAGAAATGAGGCCATGCAAACCAAAGCAGTATTTCGTTTGTTAGTTTTAAAAGTTGTTTATTTCTCCTGCAAAATTTCTTATTTGCTAAGTAAGGTATTTTCCATTGATGGGGACGTTGCGTAACGTTGACACATTATTGAGTATAAACGCAACTTAAGGCAGTCGCTTTCACTGCCGGAACAAAGTATCGGCACAGCAAATTTTTCACAATATATGCAACAATTTTCGCCAATTTGTTAGAACAATATGGTTCTTTCCGCAACAAAAAACATAAAAATATAATTCCTAAACTTTGGGCAAAACTCGCAAAAATTCAGCAAACTTTCAACTTTTTAATAAGATTTTTTAAAATTATTTGAGTATGCAGATTTGTAGCCCAATCAATTTTATTATAATAAAGTACAAATTTTAGGTAGCTAGGAATTACCGTTGATTTTTGGCAATTTTTTTCACGTAGTCTCTTCCATACAAACATTTTTTTTTCGAAAATACTTTGTATGGAAACAAGTAATTTTTAGCGAAAAAAAACCGACTTCAATTCTCTTATAAAAAAATATATATATCGGATCTAAACCGGACCACCTCTGAGACATTACCTTTCCGATGCAAAAAGAATTAAATATCGGAATCGGTTGACGTGGTCCAAAATTATGCGGTAACATACATAAAAAAAAATGCAAAACACCTTTAACAAAAAAAATCTTCGATTTTTGACTAGCTCCGAGCTTACATTTTTTGTACTAGAATTTAATGGGCTGCGAAGCTGCATACTCACAAAAAATCGAAAAAATCTGATTAAAAAGTTGAAAATTTGCTGAATTTTCGCGAGTTTTGCACAAAGTTTAGGAGTTATATTGTTATGTTTTTTGTTACAGAATGAACCATATTTTTATATAAAATTTGCGGAAAAATATTAGAATACAAATTTTTCCATATAGTACTGTGAAAAATGTGCTAGCCAATACTTTGTTCCGGCAGTGTATGTATCTATATTTGTGCATGCAAAACCACCGACAACTACGTATATATGTATGTGTGTATATGAAATTGTCATGACACACGCCCAGTA